TTTTGGGATGGGCCATACAGGTCAACGATCTGTTTTTTCAAACCTTGCTTTCCACAAAAAACCACACCATCTTGGATATGCAATATTTTTTTAGTTAAAAACCACTGTTTGCCAAAAATCTCAAGAGTTGGATCAACTCGATCTGAACTCAAACCCCAAATCTAGTTTAGGGCTTTCTATTTGAGGTATTTGAGTAGAGTTTCACAAAGATGGAGGCACCATTTCTCACCAGGTGCAAAGATTGAAGGATCAACTTACAAAATTTGGGTAGGCATAATTGGTTTTAGTTTTTAATGTGAATTCACATAAATTGTTTTATTCTTTCTTTCCATTTTTTTTTTTTTTCGTTTTTGTTGTGGACAAATGTCACTAGATCTAGTTATATTTTAGTTGATATTGTGTTTTGGTTTCATTTTCTTAAAAAAATCATAAGATCTATTTGTTTTTCCAATAGATGCATTTTGCATGTATTTTAGAGAAATTTATTTTTTTACAATTTTTTGAAAATTTGATGATGGTGATTGGTTATTTATTTAATTATTTTTGTCTATTTTATGCCTCTAGTATTTTTGGAAATTTTCAAAGGTAGTACTTCCTATAAAAAGTTTCAGCAAATCAACTTCTTTTTTTCATATTTGGATGCATAAAAAAATAATCTACAGATGCAACAATTTAATGTTGAAAACAGGTTTTTTTAAAAGGTTTTTAATGTCTCTAGTAGTCTTAGATTGTCGCAAAAGTGACATTTCCTCTTGACTTTTGTAACTTTTTTTCCATATTTTGATGTATATAAAAATAATTTGTTTGTCTTTTTATGTTTCAAGAGTAATATTTTCGCTCATACAAAGTAGGGATAAAATTCAAAATGAACACATTCGGGATAACTTAGGTGTGGGTTCAATAGGCAATAAGATGAGAGAAAGTAGACTTAGGTGGCTTGGGCATGTTTAGCATAGACCAGTACAACTCCTGTTAGGAGATGTAAATTAGTTCAAGTGGAAGGCTCAAAAGAGGCAAGGGGTAGGTCGAAAGCACATGGTTGGAAGTAATGAGAAAATATATTGGGGCTTATGACCTCACTGAGAGAATGGCCCTTGATAGAGCAAAATGGGGGACCAAGACTCGTGTAGCTGACCCCAAATACTTGGGAAAAGGTTATGTCAGTAGGTAACAAAGAAAGGACTCGATCTCTTTCAATACGGCTATGGGCATTTCACTAATTTCTATGACTAATAAAAACTATATATTTTACAATTGCTTGGGTTGTATGTTTCTATTGAAATTCTAGTCTCATTTGTTACCGACTTAACTAACAAAGGTAAAAAAGTAATAGAAGTGAGAAACTGGATGGAGTTTATTGGGTAATCTAAAATGTAACATATGGTGCCTATCATAATACTATCATTTTGTTTCTTTAAATAGAGATGACTTTGTACTGTCCAGTTTTCTTTTCTCATGCTTTCTATAAAACATTGTGTAATATGAATTCTAGTGCATAGTCTCCATTGCATATGATAATTTACAATTTATTGTACAATTTATTGTCATACATGGACGAAGCTGTGGAGGCTGAGTGACAGTGGAAATTATTTATTTGCCCTTATAATTGAATTTTTGTACCAACTACAAAAATTGACTTCCCTGTATACTATTTTTAAATGAATGAAATTCCACAAAAGGTTTGTAAAATGTAAATCTTCTTTTGCTCATTTGACTTTTCTAGATTACAGAACTTAGCTATCTACTTCCATTATTTGATTTCCTGAGATGACCAAAGTAGTTCCTCCTAGAGTATCCTAGAACCAAGTTTGGGTGGGATGCAAAACCATCAAAATATCAAAATGAAAATGCTTGATAACCTAAAGGGTTCACTGTTTTATAGTTCCTACTGTTTTTAATATTCAATAAAACGAACTCTTGGATTTTCCAAAAATATCATATTCTAATTAAAAATGCCCCCCCCTGCCCCCTCTCCCTCCCTCCTCTTCTTTTTTGAGTGTCTTTAAATCGAAATTGTTCTAAATATCCACCTTATCTTCTTATCACTTTCATAATCCCTTGACATGATCCTCTCTACCATAGTTATTGGTATCTCCCACCCTATGTAGATCCAGTTCCAGAATATCACTCCGATCCTTTAGGAAAGGGATCTTCAAGGGATCTCGAGTTTTGAATTTGGGATCTCAATCTCCACTTTTAGGGATCTTGATCCTCACTTTAACGACCAAGATAACGGTCAAATTGATGAGTTTCTTTATTTATAGCCAGCCAGCAATGGAACTATACTTTTAACAATAGTTGCATTGCCTGCTGGCTAGAGATTCCTACTTTAAAGAGTATAGCATACATACTATGCTATATATACTCTTTAAGGTCGGAAGCCAGATTCCCAAAAGGTCCGGGATTGAGATACCAAAAGGTCGAGATCGAGATCCCCAAAAGATTGGGATCGATTTTCCTAACATTGGAAGAACTTGATCGCTAACATACATTTTATGGATGGCACTAGCAAAATGGTCTTCTACCTTTTGTGGTCCCCATCTCCCGGTTCCGCTCCTGCTTCTGATCCCAACAACTTTGCTTTCTACTCTCTTTGGTAATTTCGTGCATGCTTCATAACTCTTTTCAAAATTATTGTCACAAAATAATTCGATCCCCGACGTGTATGAAGTATGAACCCTGTGATTTCAGGCATTATCCTACGACCTAGGACTAGCAAGCTACAAGGCTGTATCAATCAGCCCTTAGATAGTAAGGAGACCACTTTTAGGGACAAAGGAAGTAACACTTCGAAACTCAGTCATAACTGATATACCCCCATAACAGATTGGGGACTATTCTGTACCGCAAGAGGCGCCACTAGCTGGTACTCTATGAACATGACTGACGAAAATCATCTAGTTTCTATACAAACTTGAAATGTTTTAGGCAACAGTTCAATAAATCTAGGGCTTTGGTGGGACAGTGGATGACCCAATTTAGACTGAGGTATCTCTTTACATAATTATGGATTGTTGCAAGGCCTCATTACTGATTTGACACTTATAATTAAAAGCTAACAGATAGGGGATCTCTTGTTTATTGAGTTTTTTAAACCCCACAATTTTCAATAATTGTGTAAAACTGTGGAGAACGGAGAAAATAGGAGGTATTTCCAAAATTTAAGTGCATGAATTGAATAAAACTTGGCCTAGCTCCACCACTTTCAGAAATCTTGCATTGTATTATCTAATTGGGTTTTTAACTTTGAAGATGTAACGATCTCCAACTTGAGTGTACAGGTTCATAATTCATCTTTCCAAGTTAAAGCGCTAGGGTCTTAACTCATGAAAGAAATTGGGATGAAAATAGAATTTCAGAGAAAATGGGGAACATGCAGGTTCTGCCAAGACTTGTTTATGTTAGAGAGCAGAGAGATTTCCGCTATACGAGCTACTAAGTGGTGATCTTACTATTCAGACCCTATTTTTAATGATGAAGGTTGCCTTCTAACAATAACAAAACAAGGTTACTTTAAATAACCACATTTTACAAACCTGTCTTTTTGAGGGAGATTTACGAAATAATCCCATTATATTATTAAAATTAAAAAGAAACCCTATATATCCTATATTTTATGCTTACTCCCACCTTTTGAGAGTGGATATTGTAATTTAATATAATTTCATTTTCTATGTGTCAAAGTGAGCTCAAATTTGTGGCGTTGATACTTCTCACCATCTCATATTTGTAAAAAATATTAAAAAAATCTAATAAATGAAAGACCAAAATACCCCCCAAAATTTGAAATTCTTAGGTGTCTTTTGGTCATTTTTATTGGACTTAATTATATTTTAAATAGTTTTTGCAAGTGTGTTATGATAAGAAGAACGGATGCCCAAAATTCAAGCTGAATCAGATCAAGAACATTATAAGATATACAATATTTACTATTAAAAAGTGAGACTGGAGTGTAAATATAAAATATATTTATTATTCTATTGTTATAGTTTGAAAATAAAATGGATTTTTGTTGTTAATTTCCTGATATTTTAATTTAAATGAATATGGGTATTTGAAATTCCTGTATCTCGTGGTGCCTTTTAATAAGCAATTTAATAAGGGTATTTTAAAATTTGTACCTAGGGACTTGACTATTTCTATATTTAATTCACAAAATTAAAATATGACCATGTAAGATCCTCTAATTTACACACATTTCACCTTTTTTTTTCCTTTTAAACAAATAATGAGCTGGTGAATACGGGTATCTTGAATACCTTTATTTTGGACTTTATGAGAAAAGGATAAATAAATTTCCCCAATTGCAAATATTCTTGAATTTGGATAATTGAATAGCCTGGATTTTACTCTTTTATATAATGATGAACAGCATGACTATTTGGTTTTTGAAATCCTCTTATTTGGTTGCTGTTATATCGTTTTGAAGGCACCAAATAAGGGTATTTGAAATAGGCCTATATCACTAGAACTGATTTTCTTTGCAGCTGCTGTGACAATCACATGGGGAAAAGCATACCTTGTTTCAAAATCTTATAACATAGATCTCCCTTGTCTTTGAAAGAGTAACTCTCATGGCTTTTCTCTGGTTTAAGGCCGAAGTTCTTGGTTCTCCTAGCTTCTTCACAATAAAAAATAGAACAATACCCAATTTTCAGAAATATTTATCTGCAGATTCTTCTTTCCGATAATATCTCTTCCTCTTTCACCAACCATATCTGCTGTCTCATTCAGTAGTTGTACCTGTCAGGGACCTAGAAGCTGCAGTCAGTATTCCTATTTGTATGAGGATGTCAAATCGGGATATATGGGTTTGCTTCAATTTTTTTCCGTTGATATTTGTGTATATTACTTTATGCATTTCAAGATGTCACTCATGGTCTGTAAATACTTTCTAAATGGTGTAATTCTAAGTAATTTTTTAATATTATCTACAAAACACGATTGAGAAAGGTTTTATGGGTCTTCTTACTCACTATATTGGGTTGTATGATTTACAGGCAGGGGTAATCGAAGAGATGGTAAATGATGCTGTGGACACTGCACTGGATTCAGAAGATATAGAAGAGGAAATTGAAGAGGAAGTGGATAAGGTTTTGACAGAAATTGCTGGAGAAACAACTGCGCAACTACCGGAAGCTGTAAGAAAAGAGAGAGTACAACAACCTGCCCAGAAGGGAAAAGCACCTCAAGAGGTATGCTAACTGTTACTATGATTTGTGGTTTTGCACCAAATAGTCAACTGAACAGAACTTGAATGCATAGATAAAAATCTCTGTGCAGCAAGAAGCTATTGCCGAGGGTTTGGATGATGAAAAGGAACTCGAGGAGATGAGGGCACGCCTTGCGAATGTACGGTCGTAGTGATCATGGTCTCAGATTGAATGTAACAAGTGGAGCAGTGTTTATTGCCATGGTTGCTGTTGTAAGGGCTTCTGCCCCAAGCCTCTATAAAGTGCTAGCAATTTCCAAACTTTGAAACTAATCTTAGTAAGAAATGTGCCATTATGTCATGACAAGCTGTCCTGTAATGTAGCTTTTAGTATCTAACATCCCAAACATGAGTAATGAGTAATCAATCGGTTGGTACATATTTTTTACAATACCATTTTTCATTTTTTATCTTTTTTATTTGTGCTTTGATTTAAAGTCGATGACATTTGCATACTACTTCTTGGGAAAGGCTTCTTAATTTTGTTTATCCCTTTCGTGGTGATATCCGCAAAAAGTCCCCAAGATTCATTAATGATGAAACTTGCCCTCCTGCTAGTAATGTTCATGGTTAAATTCATCAAGAAAAAGAGAAAAACTCCATAAGTACTGTAGGAAGAGAGGAATAAATAGAAAAAACTCCCTAAATTCAGGGCCTCTATCTAGATGTACCCGACACAACACAACCCTTACCTCAAAAGATCCAAAACCTTCTACTGTCCCCGCACCCCCAATAAGCCACAAGACGTACTTCTATAGAATTCCCTGAACAGACTTCCAAAACTCGATCCATACTCCTACTATGACACATCACTTAAGCAACCAGGCCGGGGTTGCACCGAGAGATCTGCAATTGTGCATGGTGACTTACTTTTAAGTGGTGCTTTTGGTTGATACATATCCTTGAACATTGCATAAGGTTGCAGCCTTAAACAATAAGGTCCATCTCTAAATTTTATCATAAATATAATTTTGATATAAATTTTTTTTAGGATGGCTTGATAATCTATTTTTATCTCTAATTATAACATTTTAAACTCTAAAAATGGTTCACATCAAGTGGATCTATAATCACATGAAAGTCTTGAAAATGATCAGTTTAGATAATGTGTTGTAAGAAATACTATTTAGTGGATTGTAAAATTTTTTTTTTTTTTCATATTCTTTTTTTTTTTTACTAAAAATACTTACTTTTTATTAACTAGTAAAATGAAAGTATGCATCATTTAGAACAAAATTGAAGAAATTGCCCAATAGTCCAATAGGACCCTCTTCTTGGCTGGATCATTAACTATCCCATTTAGCCTCCCTGTACACGTGTTGAAGGTTAACCACCAATGGAGATAGAAAATCCATAACCTGCAATCAAATTGATATAAACCACCATGGAGGCTTGGATAAGGATGAGCACCAAATTAATGACATTGGGATAGTCCCCCTCAATGATGAGTGAATTTCCCAAACTTCTATTCCTCCACAGAGAAAGCCCTTGAAGCAAAGCCAGCGATTAAGCATGATTAGCTGACACAATCCCCATGGTCCCGCATAACAGAAAACTACTCCTCCCTCCGAGTCCCTACATACACCTCCCACACCTGCACTCTTGGATACCCCATAAATTACCTTGGTAATACTGAACCAACTCCAAACTGTATGAAGAATCCTATTTTGTAGTTCAGTAATCTCCATCTAAACATCATCAAAAGTTCTTCTATTTCTTTCCAACCAAACCTCCTATATAATGGCCCCTCTCAAAATATCCCATAACACAGCCCAACCTGTTGAAAAATCAACCAACTTAAACTGTGATGGTAGATTAGACAAAGAGCCAGGCATAACCATGGATACCTCGACTAAATGCAAGGCCCATTGCCATATATTCAAAGTATATGGACAAAAAAAAAAAGATGGCCATATGCTTCCTCATCATTTTTATAAAGGATGCAAACATTCACCAACACTTTCCCCCTCTTTCTCAAATTATCAACAGTTAAATCCTTACCTTGGGCCATCACCCAGATAAAACATTGCACTTTAATAGGTAACTTCAATTCCTAGATCTCCCTCAAAGCCTCCTATCTCCATCTTATTCTATCATTAAATAACAAAGAATACAATGATTTAATCAAGTAAATACCGCTCACTTCACATTCCCAAGCAGTCTCATCTATGGCCTCGTTTGGGAGGTATACCCCAGCCAAAAACCCAAGCAATTCACTTAATTGCTCATACATAAAATTGGGAATCTTATTATAGCGAACACAAATATTCCAAAAAAAAATACCCCCCATTAAACTCCCCAATCTCACTCACCTTAGCCATAGGATTAACACATCTTTGAAAGAGGTCAAGGAACGCAATGGCTTCTTTAAAACCCATTTGTGGTGTCAAAATAGAGTCTCATTACCATTGCCAACATACGGCCTCGTCTATCTTATCATGAAAGTACACATAGAACAAATAAACTGCCATACATGAGATTGCGGTGAGCCACATCTACCCTGTTGAATGAGATTATTTGAATGATCAATCCCATATTTTGTAATCAATACTTGTTTCCAGATATGTTCCTCCGAATGCAAAGATCTCCACCACCAACTTAGCAATCAAAGCTCCATTGACTAGCTTAAGTTTGTGAATACGCAAACCACCATGCCTTTTGGATGTACAAACTCTATTCCAACTCACTAGATGAAATTTTCTATTGTCTCCAACAGACCCCTATAAAAAATTCCGGATAAGTTGCTCAGTCCTCTTAACAATGATTGAAGGTATAATCAATAATGACATTTGATAAATTGGTAAATTCGATAGTGACGACTTAATCAAAGTTAGCCTGCGTCCCAAAGACAAGTTCTTACCCTTCCATAGATCCCGCTTAATATTGGCATGTTGAACAATAGGACCCCACACCTCCATTGGCAATCTCGAGTCTGAAATAGGCATACCCAGATATTTGATAGGGAACACATCTACATAACAATTTAACACCTCAGCCACTTGATTAACAAAAGTATTCACACAACCAACCTCTATAATTAAAGTTTTTTCAAAATTGACTTTCAAACCTAGAGCCATTTCACAACATCTCAAAAATTTCCTTAAATATAACATTTCCTCCATCGTAGCCCCATAGAAAATAATTATATCATTAGCATACTGTAAACAAGAGATAGAGGGTGCATCCTGAGTGACTTTAAATCCTTGAAACCAATTTCTATTCTCCACATTAGTAGCATAAGATTAAAAGTATCCCTAACCAAAGTTAATAGGAAATGAGATAGAGGATCTCCATGACTGAAACCCCTTGTTGCTTTAAATAAACCTTTAGCACTTCCATTAACAAGAATAAAAAATTGGGCTGAGACAAGCAACCGGCCATCTATTTTCTCCACATGCTCCCAAAATCCATATATCGCATAATCTCATCCTCAACTTTCCACTCTACCCGATTGTATGCCTTTCCATATCAAGTTTTATCAAAATCCCTGGTTTAGAACTCTATGTTCTAGCATGTGGATATTTCTTGGGCAATTAGAACCCCATCTATAATCATCCTACCAATGATGAAAGCTGATTGAGAGCCCGATATTAACAGAGGGAGAACCCTTGTCAATCTTTCTGCCAAAACCTTAGAAATGATCTTATAAAGGCTAATCACATGACTAATTGAGCAAATATCATTAATCCTTAAAATAGAATTTTTTTTTTTTTGGATAAGAGCTATATAAGTCGAATTGATCGTCCATGAAGAATAGATCAAGGAATTCGTTAACTGTTTCCAGCAACTCAACGTTTACCAAGGCCCAAAACTTATGGAAGAAAACCAAATGATAACAATTTGGGCCAGGAGTCTTATCCCTTGAAAACAAAAACACCACCCTTTTCAATTCATCTTCATCTACTTTTTTCTCCAAATCCACAACCAAATTATTAGGAAGGATTTTAAAAGGAACTCCAATCAAATTTACTTGAAAAGGAATTTCTGAAGAAAATGTTCTTTGAAAATGGTTAACAAATTCCAAATCCCAAGCAATTGAGTCACTGTCCACCACCCCCTGAAAAACAATACTAGAGATGATAAATATCATTCTGCCTTCTTCTCACATTAGCAATCTATTTATACTTGAAATTGCAGGTAGAGGACTTCGCCCCCGCCTTGATTTCGGTGCAAACAAATCAATGAGTTGATAGAGTATGGGTCCCGTTAAATTACATTCCGAGGGAATTGGGTCCTAAGATCTTGTCCCTCTCGGATCTCCAACAAAGCCGGTTTCCCTACTATCTTAACCTTAAAACTTAACCAAGAAGGCTTTTGAAAGGAGGTTAGAGATAAAAGAAAAATTTTAAGAAAATAGATTTAGAAAGAAAACAAACGAGGAGAACCACAAGTAAACAACTAAACTAGGAAGATGCAAATAAACATAAGTGAATAATCTAACTATAAGATGTAGGAAGCATGAGAAATTAAAGAGCATGGAGATAAGAGAGTGAGTTTAATCTAAACATACATGACATAGAATGAAAGAGAGAGAGAGAGAGTATTATGGAAATACGAGCATGATTATGAAGAAGGAAAGAGATGAGGTCCTCGTCAATTAGGCAAATAGATATACGTATGAAATGCGAATAAAGATAATAATATAACATGAGAAGAAATAAAATGAGAGAGAAGAAAGTTGATACTAACAAATAACATGCATCGAGAGTAACAAAAATAAATACAAGAAAGAGATAGAAGGAAAGAGCGTAAGGAGTGTTAAGATGAATGAGATAAAGAGAATTAGGGAGTGATTCATTAAAAGGGGAAAAGAAAAATAGATGAGTACAGATTACTAATAGAAGATAATGAAAGACGGGAAATATAAATGTAATAAAAAAGTGATGAGAGATATCCACATTATTGAATGAATAAAAAAAGAAAAGAGAAACATGTAATGAATTAGAAGAAGTAAATATAACAAGAAGAAAGAAAACAACCACACACTAAAAGAGATGAAAGATTGGGGTGAGAAGAGAGAGTGTCCATACTATCAAGTAGAGAAAACTATCAGAAATCATTAATGTAGCAAAACCAAGAGAATAGATGCTCATAAGAGATATAGAAAGCAAATCTACACTAAAGAAGATCGGAGAAAACGGGGATCTGTATCGTAATAGAAGAAAATGGGAAAAAAAGAATAAACACCACAAACATCAAGAAATGAAGATTACTCTGAAGAGGAAATAAACTATTTAATGAAGAGAAATGGAGATAAGGATGAGAGGGGAAGATCTATATTACTACATAAAGAAAATACGAAAGAGAAATAAATGTTACAAATAAAAAATAATAAACACAACAAGGAAAAGGAAAAATTATCATATAATGAAGGAGATAAGAGGAGAAAGA